ATTTCTTAACACAATATGCATGACAAATATTCATTTTACAGAACCACCCATCACATCTGTTTCTGTTTCTTTTTCTAATGTAACAGTCAGGATATCCAATTTGTTAGTGTGTCCATGAAGATGGGATTTCACCATTCCAAAAAATGAATCTGGTTAGAAATGGAGTATTATTGATTTGTTCCACATGGAGGTGTGGTCTGATGCAGATATATTAGCATGGCAAGTTAGCTGAGAGGGAGGCACAGAATATATATTCCTTCCTCAATTTTCCCTGAATTGTTGACACTACTAAGCCTTGTTGTGGAAATTGTAGGAGAAGGGAGATAGTGTCAAGCATGGAGGCTGGTCACTGTTAGTTATTCTCCTGAGGATTACCTCCACCTCAGAAATCAGACAGGCACACACATTGATAGATGAACGTCATACATGAACGTTTGAATATTTCACTCAAAAGTATATTTCAAGCAGTTGACAAATATGTTCAAAGTCAAAGTGATATTTGTTCATACGGTTTTCCACATATAGAAATCTAAATATCAAGCGTGCACAATTTTCAAGCTGCGCCAGTCCTCAAGCTGTGCATGTGTACAGTACGGCATTTTGGATGCTTTGCAGATAAGCAGACAAAAGGCAGAGCCATGTTAATGCAACTGTGACAGCAACACCACATACAGTATAATATATATATATATATATATATTATACTGTATGTATATAGGCCTAACGTCTTTATTATACGGCAGGCTGGCTGCACCGAATACCTTTTGCCATTTGACACAGACATGTCCTGCCTAGTGACAGATTCTGCACAGTACTGGTCCCAGAGGTTACAAATGACCTTTGGATTGTCTTTTCTTTCAGTCTCAAAGAATTATTTGCTTGACAATGGCCACCAATGCCACCCCGAGCACTTTGATGGAGCCGTGGGTTTTCCCTGCTTGTCTTAAGAGATCACATTAGCCTTTTATGAAGTTTGCATGTGTGTGTGTGTGTGTGTGTGTGTGTTTGTGTGAGAGGGGTGGAGCGAGTGAATGATCACGTCTGTGTTATTGCATGTGCAATGACATACATGTGGAAATACGTATTCAGGAAGATCCCTCACTAGCAACCCATAGGCAGCTTCATGCTTTCAACTAAACTTAATTGCTGCATGACTGGCCCCTTGTTTGGAGGCCAGAGGGATTTTCTTTCATTATACAGAATTAATCATTGCTAAGATGTGCTTCTTCACTGGCCTTTCCTTTAAAATGCTGCCGTCCACAGGATCTTTTCAGCATTTTATCCGTGGTAATCAGCGTGCATTAATGTGCATTTGCACCCTCATCAGAACCCACAGGAGAAAGTGTGCTTCAAGAGGCAGTGTGTCCATCTGGTATTCCTGCCCCTTAACTTTCACATTGCTAAGTGACGTTTTACAAGAGAGGCTCTCATCCTGTGCGCAAAGTAAAACTGTAAAATGAAATGGCTTGGAGCGGCACGGCTTTAGTTTAATTTCAGAGGTGGCAGGAACAAGGTTCAGTGCAGGCCCCACACTGTCAGATGTGCTTGATCCACAGCCTGATCCTTGCCCTCTCCATCTGTCACCTTACTAGACTGCACCGTTCACATGGACACACAACATCTATTTACGCATGCGCGCCCACACACACACACAATCTTAACAACAATAACAACAGCCAGAACATTGCACTGTAACAAATTGCTGTAAATTTACGTTGCATTTCTAACGGTATCTTACAGTATGTCATAATAACTGTAACATACAGTTCCATCCCTTGCTTGTAAATTAACGGCCAATGTCATGAATAAACAGTTAAAGTCGTCAATTTACAATAAAAGCAGACTACCGTAATTCAACTGCATGTTACATATATTTTATGAAGTGGTGGAACTACACATACAAGTGCAGTGAATCACAATCCATCTACATCTTTTGCAGGTTAATGTATGGTCAGGTCCTGTAAGTCATCATAATGAGATAGTATCTCATGAGATACGATGATGACTTTGACTTACAGGACATTACTGTACATGCAGCTGTCACTTTTATACAAAACGCCCATGGTTTGATATCATTTTATGTGGAGTGATTGGGGGTTAGGTGTCTTGCTCAGGGACACTTCAACTTGGCACAGGGAGCTGCCAGGATTCGAACCGCCAACCTTGTGCTGCACAGCACACCCTCCCTATCCCATGCGCCGCCTTCGCCGTCGTGTCGCTGTCAGTTGCCGGAATGTAAAGATTATAAATATTTGTATTATTTAAAGTGTTCATTGCCTAAAAGTCATTTGAGTGTTAATCGTGACCGACTGCTCCTGAACGTGAGGTCAGAAGTGTAGTCTCAGTTCATCCAGAACACCTGTCAGTGCAGTTCAACATCAGAGGAGTTTCTCATTGCCTCGTCTCTCCAAGTAATGTTGGTAAGTGTTAACATTCTCCTTCCTTACATGTTGTTGTCTTCCTCAACTTTGTAATTTTAATATTTTACCGATGACAGTGTTTCTAAATATTTTATTTTGGTTTGTTTTACAGAGGCACTGGGTTAAGGACGCCAACCTTTTGCTGCGGTCAATTGAAAGCGTTCCATAGCGTATTGTTGCAGTTAGTTTACCTTGTTCCTAATGATTTCATGATTCATTTTTTTATTATTGTATACATGCGGCATATTTTATGTTTTGATCTTGGTTACAAATGCCGAACATTTTTGTCTTAAAGGCATCTAATAAACTCCAACCACTATGACTGAAATGAGTTTAGTTGTCTTTCTTTAATTTGTTGGGAATTAAATGCAAAAGTATACGGTTATAAGTAAACTGTAACATTCTGGTATTTATAACACAAATGTAAAACCAAGTCAGAATTAAATATTTCAAATCGGATTTTGACAAACAGAAATAAACAATTGTCTTGCTTCAGAGGTTTGTGTTTACCGTCTGTGCTACAAATATTACTGTACAGCAACGGGTATGCATAGGCACAGCCGTCTTCAAAATTCTTTGCTATCCTGTTGTTCCTGCTGTAATGAGAAACCGTTATTCATAATGTAGATTCAGAAGAAAACCTCGTGAAAACTGACACAATTTTCTACCGCCTGAAGCCTACTGTCGGAAATATGATCTTACCCTCACCTCTTACCCTGACTGCCGTACTGTAATGATGCTCGGAGGTGAGCACGCACATCAATTATTCACAGAATGCAAGATTTTCACTCTTTATCTTCTCGCCAGCTAGACGAAACCATTTAAGAAAAATAGAGGAGGAAATAAAGGAAAAGAGAGAGAGAGAGAGGGAAAGCAGCAAGCCGCTTGCCGGGTGAATAAGATAGCTTGCTGTGGACGGACAATGCGCTTGATGTGAGTTATAATTGTAGTTTAACAACGTGCAGACCTTTGGGATTTTTAGTGTGCAATATATGGCCTTTAGACTTGGATCGCTATGGAAACCAAAGGCCCTGGAAGACCCGCATGCCCACCCACTCGGACAGCCGTTAATCATCTTCGCTCAGATCCTGGCACTGCAGAATTTGGCCAATGTGTCAAGAAGCAATTATATATACTTAGTGCTCGGGTAGCCGATCTCCTCCCTCCCCTGTCTTTCCTCGCTCTCAAACTCTTAATATAATCACAGAGTAGTCAGTTTAAAAGCCCTCTTTTCATTTTACGATCTATCTAGGGACGCACACAATGCAGATGAAGAGAAGTGTAAAAAGACAGAGGATATTCTATTCTGAGAGCCATTATAATCAGAATATTCTTTTCATATAAATCACACCCACCCATTTACGGGTTTTAGCAGCCTCCAGAGCTGACTGACATACTAAATTAGCCCAGCTGGCCCATTGCATTCACTGCACATATTGGGTTGGTGCGGATCACGGAGACTAATGTGAGCTGACTAGAGGGAGATTATGTTCCGCTGCTAACAGCTAAAAAGTGAATAACACGATCGGCAAACCCACGGTGTTTCCCCATTACATCAGCGCCGATCATCTGTTTGCAAATGGAAAGAGAGTCAGTGAAACCGAGAACAAGACGGAAATTGTCCCGGCCACAAACAACATAGATAGACATGCTCAAGCTAAAGAGAGAAAGTACTGCTCCGATATTAAACCTGTGTCAGACGGAAACTTCCTCGTCAAGAGCAACCAAAACCTGAAGGTACAGGTGATATGTGAAACCCATGCAGCGTTGACAGACCTCCATCTGATTTACAAATGACAGACATGGGGAGGGGGAAGCGTGGGGGGGGGGGGGGTGTCGTCATATATTATTATTATTTACTGTCCTGCCACCATCTAAAGCTTTCAATGCCAGCAAAGTCATTTTAGACAGCTAGCTGTGCATTAGTGATGTAGAGGAGTGTTATACTTTGCACAGTTGATGACAGGCTGTCAGACAGCTTCCCTCCATTGGACTCTCTTTTTTTTTTACCAAGGTCCACTCTTGTAACACGCCACCATACCAGCCATTCATCCAGAAAAGGGCACAGGCATTTTTGACACATTTGGTGCTAAGTGAACTGAAATCGTGTGAATTTCACCACATAGCGCATTATCACATTTGCAAGGAGCCTGAACCCGGAGCAGGAACTGAAGGGGAAAGTTATTTCAACGTGTGGAAACGACTTGAGACTATCGGAAGGAAGTGATGACTTTGACTGTGCATCTACAAGTCTAATTATCATTGAATAAATCTGACCTTTGCACCTCGGGCTAAATAAAAATCCAAATAAAATGCAGGGACAGAAAAAAATATGCACTATTTTTAGAACAACTTAAAAGCTAATTAATTTCCACATACTTTGGCCAATAGATTTGTGAATGGAATGTGGTGCACAGAAGAACACGTTTGTGAAAACATGAGAACAGCTTTGACGTGATATGAAGCTGATTTACAAATACGAGATGAGAGTAGGCGCACATTAGAGTAGCTAATGGGAACATTAAATGCTTAAAATAATTGTGTTTTTTGTTCCTTGTCTGAAAGCAAACTGGAGCTTACCTTATGAGGACAAATGGGGGGCGGTGAGTTGAACGACTGCTCCGGTGTCGGGCTCAGGTTCTACAAGGAAAACACATTATCAGGGATGTGTTTTCTGTGGGAGGCATCTCACAGTAAATCATCAGTGACAGAGGTTGCAGCTTATTCCCAAGTCCTACCATTAGCATTTTGCGATATATTTTAGAGGGGTTAAGCGACTGGCAATCTTTGCAGCCCACTAATCCAAAACCACAGCTTTTGTTGAGAGTTGTATTTTAAATCTTTATCTTGACAATATCATCTTATCGTCCACCATGTTAGTGGGTATAGTGTTTTGTTCTGTTTGTTTGTTTTCTCCTTCCTTCTGTCCCTCTGCTTCTTGTCAGAAGATTTCACTGAACATATGTTGAGATTTCTGCATACACAACTGAGCTCATTTTTTGAGGTTAAATGATAATCACATTGTTAATACACCAATACATCACTCAGATACATGAAAACACAATTTAAAAAGCTGACGCAAGGTAAGTCAACAAGCCAACAACAGATGGCCCTGCTGCTTGTGATTATGCAAAGACTCAAAGTATTTGCATACTCACAATGCCTTCATAGAAAGGGGAAAACAACAAGCCATCTTGAGCTGACCTCGGTGAGAAATGAAAAGAGAAATGATCGAGGCAAACCCAGCAGGGATGTGGACGGGCTCTGCAAACCTTTTTGGGAATCTACCAAGGGCTTCCCTCCCGGGAAGGCACTGCTCATTTCCAAGCAGGTGCCTTCAGTTGTGCCCTCATATCCAATTATGTGCCTGTGGTATGTCTGATGCTCCCTGACACTATTAATGGCTGCCTTATGGTATCACCAGGACACAAGACACACTCAACTCTCCAGACTCTTAACATCTATATTTCATAGCAACATAGAAGGAGAACACATCTGTGGCCGGAGCAAGTCGGAGAGTAGGCTTTCACTGCAGCATAAACACTGCATCATTAAATATAAATGAATAAATGGGCCTGGCTGGGATGATGGAATTAGTAGACAAAATTTTCCCAACAGATTGAGTAGTCTATTTGACCATGATATCTTAATTGATGTGACAAATAAACATAATTTTCTTTGGGGATGAGAGCAATACATAGCATTTGCTTTTGAGTGTGTTGCATGTGTGAGGGTGATTTACAGTAGAGAAAACACAATGACCTTGATTCCAACCAGTCTCCAATATTGTGACTTCTACCTTTTATATTGCATATTTAAATGGAAATGAATACAATACTGAGGACATTCAAAAGACCTTTGAAGATATTTTTTTCCCTGTACCCCTATTGACAATACTAATAAAATATATACACAAAACATTTCCAGTTAACCATGCCACTCCAATTCCATTGTTAGTGTTACAAGTCTAAGTCATTTATTTTTTTTATTTTTAGCGTTTGGGCTCAAAGACCCCCATCAGGTCAGGGTTGTGGTTAAGCTAGAATGTCAGGTGTTGAAACAAACAAATCACTTCCCTAAATCACTAAATGCTGTTTACCTGTGCACATCCTGCTGGTAGACGCTCCGCCTCTTGTTAACTACAGCTTTAAAGTGCTGAATGTAATGAATCTAATCCGTGTTAGAAATCGGAAAAGAAAATTGCCGAATTCCCCAAGCACCAAATGTTGGGATTGATTTGATGTCTTTATACATTTGAAGCAAAGAATAGGGTTTCCGTTTCATCTTCATCCAGTGTCTCAATTTGAAATGACAAATAATATGGAAAAGGAGATATTTACCGTTACAATGTGCTGCTGTTTGGATTCAGTACTAGTTCATAGAAAAAAAATGAAGAACGAGGCCGAACATAGATCATCTAAATCCGTGTCCCTTTCTTGGACACAAACACAATCACAAGATCTCCCCGGGCTATAATCAGTGCTTTATTTTTTTTTACTGAGAACCCCCCCCCCCCCCCTACGACCATCTCATTTTAATCTTTGCGCAGAGAAAAACATCATTTTTATTTAGGCCATATTCCTTTCCCACACAGCGCAAGGGTCACACATACATGTAAAAAGTAGTTATTAATCATTTTGGGTTTTTTTTATCAATGCGAAAGCATGCAGCTTTGTGAGCAATAACTCACAGCCCATGTTTTTACACAAAACCCAAATGGAATGACGCTCATGTTATCAGTAGATAAATCACGATTAGAAGAGGGAATGGAGGGAAAAAACATTTTTCAATTCACCTTTGGTCTGGAATATTTTGCATCTGATAGGCAAACATTATTGACAGGGCCTTGGATTACACCATATATTGATGTTTAAGTCTTTTCAGAGCACTAGAGGTGGTTATTGTAATTTGATAAGGCCCAGGCTGCACGAGGCCATAATACAACGCAAGATTTTTTTTCTCAGGAAACGGAAACATGATGTTTCATTGTCAGATTTCTTCAATACACGCTGATGTAGTTTATTTTTTGTCTTTTTGCGTCCTTCCTACCCCAAAGACTAAGTCTTCACTATGCACTTTATCAACATATGTAGGTTAACCATTCAGCAGCATGGAACAGAACTATCCAACTAGAATATTAGACGACACCCGACATAACTTCCTTTCTGTTTCTACGTGCCAGATGTAGTATAGTAGTCTGGTCACATTCAACAAGCCAACTTCCCTCACAAGTCCCCTGAAAAAACAAGAGCCCTATTCAGAGCTGAGTGGACAGGGACTTGTGGCACATTTGTGTTTCTAGCTCCATCAGCTTAGCCTCCATTCTCTACACACAGGGAGGCTTTATTCTGTCGGCTTCCCCGGCTACATCAAAAGTGCCAAGCTACGTTTAGTAAACTGCGTTTTCACCAGCTAGTTGATGCTTTTCTTACTCTGTTGCCACCCTTGACATTGTCCCAGCCCCTCAATCCCACCCCCCAATAAAATATAGTACTCTCACTAGGATTAAAAGAGCAATATAGTTCAAGGATTATCGAATGCCTTTGATCATGTGACTGCCATGTTTTTGATCTGCAGCACACAGCACCAAATATATTCTCTTTTTCTTGCCGTCTCTGTCCCTCTCCATGGATTTCCCATTGCTTGATGGTTCTCTGCAGTGTGAAAAGACCTCATGACAGGCAGTGAGAAAAATAGTATAATATCCCTAAAACACAAGTGCCGTGCGAGATAAACCTGTCTGTGTTGAAGTTTGTTTAGAACGTTGAAAACGTGTAAGGAGAATAAGATGTTTGTATTTACTATAATTTTACCAAAAAATGTTTTCATACATTCATAGCTGGGTGAGTGCATATTACATTTAGTTATTACCCCCAGTTGATGCCATGAAAAAGATGCTTTGAGTATGAAAGAAAGAGACCATAGATCATTTGTCTGAAACAGGAAGTAAGGTTTCCGCCAGCTCAACCCCCCATTGTACCCCCAACTGCACCCTGCTGCTGTTCATTAGCAATTCCTGAGCCTCGGGCTATTTTGCAGTGTTTCAATCCCTGCATTATTATTATTTAGCAACTGACTTGGACATGCGATCAAAGGGGCACGCAATATGTGCAACACTTGTATCGCAAAGCAATGCCTTTTCAGTGATGCCCAGACGAAAACCCTATAACTGCAAGCCAGGCGATTACATGGCTCAAATCTAGTCAATATACTTCAAAAATGTTCTTTAGCCTCATTGTACGATCACCTTCCATTAATGTCATGCCAAGATAAAAACAGGACATATCAAAACAATTATTTTGATGTGGCTTCAAGCAACAATGTGAATGGCACTCAAACCTTGAATAAATAAGGCGTGGTTTCGGGCAAAAAAAATCCCATCAAAAAATGATTGGATATCATTTTAATGGTTAAAAAGTGAAAAGGCTTTCATACTGTTTACCTGCCATGTTATTAGATAGACCATGTCAGTCAAGTTGAGGCACACAAAAACAACATACAGACAGGCCAACTAGACATACGCATGCTGCCTTCCATATCCGTCGCTGCTTGCCATGTTTATCTAGTCTTCAATGTGAGCTTAGCGCAGTACTGTGCATATGCATACAGAATGATGAAGGTTCAGAAAATAGTGCCTAAAGGAAGCTGCACATATAGCACAGCCTCTTTGAAACTGTGCCAGGCTGAGCCTCATTTGCAAAGCAATTTGACAACAAAAGTAAAATACTCTACAACTTCAAACCACATTCTGGAGATGCCAACTGGTGCAGCCCTGCAGTAGGCTCGCAGAGGGAATTTGAAAGGGTTACACCCGGTGTCCCGTGTGTGCTTCTGACATGGCTTATTTGCAGACCTAGCATTGCACCAGTGCAATGTCATGATTGCTTTGGCAGAGAAAGAGGCCCTAATTTACATGAGAGAGAGTCCTGGAAGCACACGAGGGCTTGCCTTTGACCAAGGTGCCCACAAGCCTGCAGAAAAACAATGTAATTACCACCTACGTAGCTGCTGTTTTTAAAACAAACGAACACAGCAGGAAAACATTATCGTAAATCAGTTCAACAGCCTTAACCTTAAAATATGTTTTATAATGTTTAGAATTCTTTGCGTAATATACACACTCATGGTTGACTGGAATACCATACATTTTCCAACACTAAACCTTTGGTCTCCTTCCACTCGATCACACAGTCTTCACTCATTGGAGACTTGGTATGTTTTAAATAAAAAAAAGTCTTTGAGGCCATGGATTGTTTTGACAAGTGCAATATTGCTTTGGATTAACTAGAACAGGATTTCATCCCATGTGGGTTTATGATAATCTACTATGTGTCAGGGAAGCTTAATATTGTTTTTACTGTCTTTACAAGGGCTGTGCCGTTTTACAAGGACATTTAGTTTGCAGAACCCTGATACCAAGAGAAAAGGCACAGGCTCATACTGTTTTAAATTAAGTAATGTAATTTGTTGTGTACCGCAAAACATGTAGGGCATATTTAAGTGGCTCCGAAAATGTTTTCATACCAGATCTAAGCATTTGATTGCTTTTAAAAATCAGGTCACACAGTTTCTCGATCCTGCCAGTTACAGAGGGATGGGACCTCACCTTCGGGTGAGAAAAGGGGCGGCCTCATTTTTTG